GTGTGTGTGAGTCAGGACCTCACCGGTGGAGAGTGTGTTCATGCATAAGCATGTGCTTGAACCCAATGGGCAGCTTCTATTTTTGTTTCCTCTGGCACGCATGAGCACGCAAAGAAATGGACACACACATTCACACGTCTTCAATCTAGATGAATGCTGCTGTTGCCAAAAACATGATTCAAGCTCAGACTCTTGCCCATGTGCCCACAATCACACACAAACACACAGTATACTCATTAAAATTCTCTGGCTTCTGCAGTGTGGAGTAAGGGCTGTGTAAGTCCTTCCAGAGATAACACAGAGAAAGCAGACTATTGTCTTATTCTAATCCTTCTTTTGAAGGAGCACAGTGAGAAATATCAGGGAGAGTGAAGATGTGTGTGAAAGCTTCAGTAATATGATATCCACAGTCCAGTAGGTTGCGTCTCAAAATATATGCACCACCTGATTCTCAGTATTTCACAGCTACTGACAAACTGGCACTGGCTGACTGGGCAGACAACATTAATATCATCTGCCCAACATTAGCATATGGACAAACAGCACAAAGTGCTTTTTCTTTCTTGTGAACTCTGGGAAACTTGACTGCATTACTTTTTTTTCTTTTCTGCACTCCATCTCTGTGTTCTCAATTTATTCCGTTTAGCCATGCTTGTTCAGACCATTTTAAAGTGAGTTTTAAAGTGGTCCTTTATCACAGCCTGTACAGTAAATGCTGACCTGGACTGAGCAGGTTTAAGGAACAGCAATTTGTTTTCCATTTGTCCATTAGCTGAAATCATTCTGTTTCACTCTCTCTGAGTTAATTTGACAACCTGTATATTTGGGCACCAATAATTGACTTTAAGATTGTATTGTTTATCAGTGGGAAGTGGAGTTAATATTAGAGTTGCAACAGTGACTTTCAGTATTGATGAACTGGTCAATTATTTTTTTCAAAGAAATGATTTGAATAAGTTAAACATTTAGTCTACAAAATGCTGGAAAATTGTGAAAAAGGCCCAACACAGGTTCACAGAGTCCCAGGTGGTGTCTTCAAACTGCTTGTTTTGTCCAAAAACACATGAATTTTCAGTAATATCCAAATGTGAATCCTCACATTGTGCGTCTGAAACCAGCAAATTAGTTGTATATATATATATATATATATATATATATACATACATACATACATATATATAATATTTTGTACTAGTATAATATTTTTGTTACTAGAATAAGCCAGAAGTGAAGTGTGAAGTGAAGTGTAACAACATATTTCATGCCCTTGAACTCCTTCCTAATAGTTTGTTTTTTTGGACGGTGGACAATGTCCCCTGGTCGCCTCTTTGCCAAATCTCTTTTGGATATATTGTGCTGGTGATGGCCAATGAACTCTGAGCCTGCAATAAGCTGCCCCTACAGAACTCTTAAGCCCTCCTCGATTAGTCACTCAATGAAACATTAGATGCTCCAGCAAAATTAATGCAGCTGAAATTAAATGAAAACACTGAAAAGTCTCCCCTGTAGGAAAAAGAAGTGAGCATCTTAAGCTTAAAATCGATCAGTGTAGGAGTTGGGCAAGGTTCTTTATTAACTTTGCAGAGGACCTTCCCCACAGACCTAACTGCCGACAAACACAACTGAAGTGTCAGCAGGTATAAAATGTGCTTAGATGGACTTCTGAGCTTTGTAAATACGTTAGCTTTGAGCTGGCTATATAGCTAATATCAGCTCCTCTGGGTTGCAGAGGTCAGTTATTACCATTAATTATCCCTTCCTGTTTTCATCTGCTGCTCACAGTCAACTCTGCAGAAAACTTTTACTCTCTGTCTGTATGTCTGCCTGTATGTATTTAGCCTTTATTATTCCCTTCATTTAATCTAACTGAAACTGAGGCAAGCAGGTTGTGGCTGCCTTTATGAAGACGGGGGTTTTCTGAATGTACACTTTGATCGAATAAAAGTGCACATATGAATAAGATCTCTAGTGTTTATTCTGAAAATTGAAAACAAGACCCTTGATTCCAGGAAGCAGAAGCAAATAAATGGTCTCAAAAAAAAAAAAAAACACTGCAGAAAGATCATTCAGGCTTTAAGCCTCTTAATGTAAAACATGCTGGTGCCTTGCGTCTGGTTATGTAGAGTATCTTCCCTTTGCAGTAATGGTGCAGTCCATTATAACTGCCAGTGTTATTTCTTCTCCTTTTCTTGTGTGAACAGAGTGATACAAAGAGAGACACAAATGCAAGATACATCTGAAAGAGACAGCAAACATAATTCAAGGTGTTGTTGTTGGGAGGTCCAGCTCCAAAACACCAATTTTAATACTAATTAAAAATTGTAGCTGCAAACCACTAAAAATAGAATGTACGGCAGAGGCCCATCAATTAAATTCACCCCTAGGGGACAGCTGTAACATTGCTCAGGAGGAATGATGCACTTTTGCTGGATGTGCAACATAACACAATGCTAGCTAATGAAGTACACACATACTGTGTTACAAGGCCAGATGCAAGGACATCATCAGGATAACAATTTGAAATGCTACTGTGCAAAATAAAAAAAATGTCACTTCCTTTGATGCATTTGCATAGAGGGAAAAAGATAGAACGCCTATTGATAACAGGCATTATATTACCTATATTCGAAAATAATAATACTGTATTGTTATTATTGTATTCTATATTAAATTACATGCTGTATCAAGGTATTATTTTTCTATTTCTTTTATATAAATATAATATATAATATAATATATATTATATACACACAAACAGACACAAACATATGCATTGTGTCTATTACATGTACTGCACATATATAACACAATGTACTTTATTATTATTATTATTGCTATTATTATTATTATTATGTACTACTTATACAGTACCTATATAAGTATACTTTTCTACCTTTTATTTCTCTTATTTCTTCACCTTCTAATTTTATCTTTTTTTAGTTAATTCAAATAGTTCTTTATCTGTTTTTCTGTTTATCTGTTTCTTGTCTCTTTGCTGCTGTAACATGGGGATCAATTAATATATTTATGTTACTTCAAATATACAAGTCTGTAATTTTTGAGGACTGCACAATTAATCACACTGTACTCTGCCGATAGAACAACTAGAACTTCATCAATCACCAAATACATAATCATTAGTTCGTATCCACATTCCCTGATTATCCTCAGGTCGGTCTCTTTCCAGTGCGTTATCTGGCTTCATTTCCACGTCTGCTCCTTCAGCTCTCTTTAGTGCAGCCAAGGTGAAATGGTGCACAGAGGGAACGAGGCTCTGACTGTCAGCTGCTGGGACGCATTCCGCCTCTGCTCTGCTGCTTCACTAAAGCCTTCCACAAGCTTTCTAAACAAGTTTCAATTCTACAACCTCTGCCCATGTCAGTCCAGATAAATAGATACAAGGCTGTGGCTCACACACACGCACACGCACACGCACACGCACACGCACACACACACACACACACACACACACACACAGGGAGAATAAGACGCAGACTGGAAAGAAAATACGGGCAGAGTGGAGAAGAGAGGAGAAGCCCATAACTGCCAGAGTGTTACACTACCACAGCAAGATGCCAGTGTTACCACTCAAAAATGAATCAAATGAACTAGGTTTTACTGGAAAGGTGTCATGGACTGGATGGCTCAAGAGCAGCTTATTTAGTGCAAAAATGTTCTGCTCCACTGCCTCTTTCTTACCTCTGTGAGTGTAAATTGGATGTTTGGCAACAAATTAAGGGCAGAGAGGTCATCAATTTTCAAAGCTATAGCATGTTTTACTTTGCAGTTTGGCATGAAAAAGTAAGCTGGGATTTAGTGTTACTGAGGGGTGAAGACTGAAGTGAAATATTAAGGAGGTAGCTTAGAGATCTTTTAAACCAAACACGTTATTTTAAATGTATCTCAGCAGAATTTGTTGAAGCTGTAACAGCAGTATTAGAGATTGGCTCTTAATACAGCTGACTGCAAAACATATTAGTCATTGGATATAAAGGTTTGTCTGAGGGTCCGACTGTGATGAAACTCCCCCATCTCCCCGGCCTTTTGAACACTCACGAGGTGAAATAAGACAATCAATGCCCAATCAATAAAAACAATAACTCTAAATCACTGTTTTCTTTGATGAATGCTAATGAGCCTTCACTGTTGCTTGGTTCGCCGCGTTCGTAAATACTTTAAAAATAGAGAGGTTGCACTTACAGTCGATGGCTGTGTCAGGATAATAAGAGCATTTTAGCTTAATTAACATTCTCAGGAGAGCACAGGGGTCTCTTTGGATGCTCTACCTCTGAATAACTTCATTCATTTACACCAGAAATATGGAACGTTGCTATATTGGGCTGTGAGGTTTCATGTTGTTACACACTGATCCGCACTAATCGTCTGTGCTGCAGCTGTCTGTGTTCACAGTTTGATTTTTCTGTATTTAAGAAATTTAAATCATTTTGGGTAAATTTAGAAAATAATATTCCAGCACTTGTTTCATTTCACATAATAATTTCTTTCCTAGGACTTTAAATTGATTTAATACTAAAGGATACATCCTGGTTATAATTTAACTGCTGGCAGCTGCACATTGCCTAGAGACTGACTTTGTTGCATAATCGGAACTGTGAACAGAAACCTTTTCAGGGTCATGGCTCTCTGGAATGTGTCCTTACAGAGAGTCAGGCAGAAGACAAAGCAACACCATGGCCAGATATTCGTACAGTATCACAGATACAGACTCTGATAGTTGCACCTTTGGGCAATTTAACATTTTCGGTCTGTTTCACTTGGATGTCTCTATAAACCAGGAAAAACACATAATAAATGAATGGACATTTTTTTTTAACTCCACATAGAAAGGACCAAATCAAAAAAATATTACTTTTTACTGTGAAGCAACGGTTAGCAATTATGTTTGGTAAATGTTGGGAAAGTAGCCTTGCTATCTAAATGCCAAATGAAAAAAATCCATGATGCATCATGTCCGGCCGTGTACTATATGTCACACTTACAGTAGACGTCCACTCTGATGGACTTGATGGCAGGGGAACCAAGGCCATTCTCAGCCTTGCAGTAGTAGCGACCTCCCTGGGTCCTCTGGATCTTTGCAATGTGCAACGTCTCGTTGAACACGCTGGAGTCCTGGAAGCGGTCCGACACACTGCCGGCTGTCTTGGTCCATCGAATCTGGACAAGAACAAAGAGGAGAAATTACTATACTTCCACATTTGATTTCAAGGGTCTTCTGTCGTAGTGTGCATGCAATAGAGTGAGGGGTCAAACACAGCTCCAGGTAGGAAGTACACATACAGTATAAATAAAGATGATACTGTAAATTCTTAAATAAAAGCTGGTATTCAGAAAGTAGTCATAGACATGGCGGGCATAAACAAATTGAAGGGGCAAAATTACCTTTAGTCAAATAGCTTACATGGTAAATTCAGTATCATAGATATTTCCACTGCACTAATTTAATCAGTAAACCAGTCCGCAGCTCTAAGTTTCTCTATTTAACAGAGGTTTTCTTCCAATCGCTGTAAAGCTAATGTCAGTGAAACTCATCACTTCCTTCACATTTGGCAAACTAAAGGCATACTAGAGAAGGGTGGGTCATGCCTTTAATGTGTCTTTGCAGAAAGTGTTGGCCTCATTGAGAGCAGCCTTAACACTGAAAGACAACAAACTGGAAACCACTGGAAATAACTGGTGAATTAAATCACAAAAAACCTCAGAGCAACTTATTTTATTAAGGGATTGAGTTTGCATAAACAGCAAACAACAACAACCATGGCTGCCAGGCAAAGTGACTTCCTGGATCAGAAAACATGCAAAAATATAATTAAACACAGCTATAAAACAGAGAAAATATAATAAATAAAAATAGAAATAATATAATATAATAATAGAAAATAAGGTCTTTCTAATAAGACCTTGTTTCAATATTAAAATTAAAAGATTAATTTAGCGATTTAAACTAGGGTATTGTGTTTTCTATATTAGATTGTATTCTTGATAAAATTCTGTATTTTATGCAATATGCAGACGACAGATGACAAATCCTATTCTTTTGTGGAATGTCATAGAACAAAGGAGGATTTGAAAGCTAAAAATCTTCCTCTAACTTTCCTCTTTCCTCTGTTCCACACAAGACTGACCTCAGTGTGGCCTTCTCAGCACGAGTACCTTTCACTAACTGATGAGACCCAGTTAGCCCATGGCATTGAGGTGTAATGAAAGGTGAAATAGTGTTACTTTCCAACATGAGGTTGTAATTGACTCTCCATCATCTCCCTCTCCTGTCCTCATTAAAGCATACAGCATGAACAGGTACTGTGACAACTCTGGCCCGGGGGCCACACAGCCAGAACTACGGAGCATCAAGCTTCATTCAATCCCTCATCCTAAGTAAGCCACAGATGGACTGGCTTTGCCTGCAGAGCTTCACATATCTATGTCTCGGCAGGGGAGGCTATGAATTAGAATCCAATATCTGCACACTGTATGGTGTGGCATCATCTTGGATACTGATAACATCCCATTTTGCAGAGATAGCATCAGATGGAACAGGGATATCATCGCATGGAGGGATGGGGATTGGGTGCTATCTTGAGAGATTGCCACTGTGCTGCTCTAGCTGTGGGGTTTTCCCCATGACAACTCCAGCCTGAGGTGACGACAGCTTGAAGTTTGGTCATTTTCCAAACAGACAGGAAAAAGGAAATGAAAGGGTGGGTGGCCCAAAACCTGATAATGGTGCTCTATTCCACTGGCTTTTTTTTAGCTCAGGGCTAGAGGATGACAAGGACAGGAATTCACATGCAGCAAAAGTTTATCAGAGGAGTTTCAGATTCTCTCTCTTGCTTGGGGTGTTACTGTTCAGAGTGGCAGAAATAAATTAGCTACCATGAAACTCAAAGACTGTGTGTGTGCTGTATCTCCCTTTCACCGATCTCTTTCTTTGAAAAAAAGACAAAGTCTGTGGCCAGACTGTTTCTCTCCCCCATCCCTTTATACAGCCTTTAAGTCGATATATTACCATTAAAAATAAATGCCTTTTAATGAATACACTGCACAGCAAGGGCTACACTTGGCCTGTTTCAAATGCATCAAGAGACACTGAGAGAAAGCACTCCATGAAATAGCCCAAACTCAGCAACTGATCGATGCTAAAGCAGCACTGTTAGAAAATCTGGGGCCCTATTATAACAGTTAGGGACATCATGAGTTCAGCAAAACAAGCCCTAAAGTTAAATAAGTTATGATTATAAATTAGATGGGGCAAAGTTTGTGAATTCTGTGTCACTCTGCTACAGTACTCTGGATCCCCTCATGCAAATACAAAGCAAGCTGGCTTATGGCGACCTCAGCAGAATTCAATATTCTCCCAGCTTATACCCCCAGTCATTTCCTTTGCCTTTTGTGTAAAGAGCTTTGAGTTTTAGGAAAGCGCGGTATCAATAAGTGCATTGTTAGAGTGACACTAAGAAGTGGGTATTGAAATAACTCTTGATATTTTCAAAAGAAAAGTGCTCCTGTTTGTTTCACGGGGGCAGCAGACCACATTATTGGTGAGCTTTCAACTCTCCCTGTACCCTGGAGCTATTTTCATTCTTCCACTTCTTTGACTTCTTACATCTGAGCACCTCTACCCACAGGGAGAGTCCTGAAGTATGCCTGGTGCGAACAGTTTGACCCTCTTCACTCTCCGTAGTGCAATGCAAATACTCTTGATCTGAGAGGAGCTGGCGGATTTGAGCAATATGATAATTGCTCCTCCTTGCCCAGTGACATCCATTTTTTGTCTATTTTTGCAGCTCCTTTCTCATTGCTCAGCTGAAACTCAAGGTGCCTTCAAGTATACACTGGGGAATAAGTCAAACTGCCCAAGATGCACCACCCAGCTGCTGTTAGTAGAAATGTATTTATTCCTGTCTGTCCCTTGCAATTGCGTGCATATATTATTAGCATGAAATGTAAATGGGCTCTGGTTTTCATATTTCACCTCACATAGTTTGCAAAAAAGGGGTTGTGCATTAACATTTTGCATATCCTATTTTTTTTTTTTTGAAACGCATCAAAAACATGACAACACTTTGTTCCACAGGGAAAAGCAAAAGCAAAGAGTCAACACAATAATAACACCATTAAAAAAATTTGACATCCCAATAGAAAGATCAACATTTGCTTACAAGGAAAGTAGAAGCTCGTTTAGATTAAAATCCAACTGAAAATCCCAGCAGTTTTTGAGACCACACATGCTGCGATGTCACGGCAAGAGCTAATTAAAATGCGCCCAGTGTCTGTTGTTATGCAGGGATCATATGCTGGAGCACGCGTCTTCGGTGAATCTCCCATAATGCCTGCTGTGACGTTTCGCTCTCCCTAACTACAGACTGATTTCTAATTGCTTGCCATCTTTTCTTTTAGGCACTGATGGTGGTCTGTGCCGCTCAGTGGTGCAGCCAAGTGTGGCTGAGCATGACAATCAAGCGATCAGAAGAAGCAACAGGGGGTCCATATCACAAATTACGAGTGCACAGACTCTACAGGTCTATAATGAAAAATTCTGACCCTCGTAAAAAAAAAAAAAACTGAAAGACAATATGAAACACGCTGTACTGAAGTCTTTGTAATTGGAATATTAGAAAACAGAAATAAGAATTGAATTACACACTGACAAACATACAAAAGAAATGAATCTGCTTTTATTTGCGTTGGTGTTGAACTACATACAGTATTTTTGAGGGCTGCAGTTAAAGTCACTGAGTGCGGGTGCATTGGGCGACGTATAGTTCAAGGAGAAACTCTGAGATGGTGCCCTTACTACAACTGCAGTCTGTATGGCAAACAGTGCAAAAAAAAAATAGAAGGTTAAATCATGTTCAAAAAAGCACCATCTGCCAACGACACCAGCACTGTAGGCTAACTGTCATGGGAGCATCCAAAACAGATCACATACTCCAATTGGTCTGTATAAAGCGAAATGTCCTGGGGTCTGAGGTCAGCTTATTTGTACTCGCTGACCCGTGGCGCTGCAAGTTGAATCTGGCCAGCCAATAATTGAAACAAAAAAAGGTGTTTGCAATGTGGTGTTGCTGGCTATTGGAGCCTGGTACTCAAACAAAGTAGTGTGGACATAATGGATGGAGGCCAGGGCAGGGGAGACAGGGGCAGATGGCTTCATCATCAGGGACTCTTTGATGTCTATTCACAGCATCAAAGACAATGAACGAAGCTGGGGAACAGTGACCATGAAAGCTCAAAGAGATAAAGCTGTACATGTATGTATGTGATGTTCTGATACAGAGACAAAGAGACAGTGAGACAGTGTTTAAGACAAAGGGAAATAACTCTTTATACGTAATGGAGTCAAAGCTCATGTTCATTTTCAATATTTATTACTTTTCAGATGAACTGTTTAATCCTGTAATCTATAAAAATGTCAAGAAAATAGTGAAAAATGTTCATCCCAAGTCGCCAGAATCCCCAAGTGACATCTTCATTGCATTGATATTCAATTTCCATTGACATAAAACAAGAAAAAAACAACCAAGTGATCAAAATTGCAGTAGACTGACTTCATGTTCATTGAGCGTAAAAAGAGGCATTGGCATCATGTGTCTCATGCTTTTTGACACAGAGCCAATTCAGAGATACACGGACAAAAAGATCATAAAGAAACAAGTCATTTTTTTGGTCAATTAATTGATCAAATAATTTTCCACCTAATCAATGAATCCTTTTATCTATAATACGTCCAAAAAATTTAAAAGTTCTCATCACAAGTTCCCAGAGCTGAAGGTGACATTATTTTAATTACTTGATTTGTCTGACTAACAGATTGCCATGAAATTTGGTCGCGACGTTCATGTTCCCCACAGGACCGACTGAAGTAACATCTGGCATCATCGTCAGGTCAAGATTTAAATTTTTCTAATTGTTTGGTTTAAGGCCAAATACCTGCCAAACTAATGACACGTCCAACAGCCTCAGCTGTATTGTATTTTCAGTCCTAATTAGCAAATGTTAGCATGCTAATCCGCTAAACTACAATGGCAAACATGATAAACATTACGTGCTCAACATCAGCATGTTAGCATCGTCACTGTGAGCATGCTGACTTTAGCATTTAGCAGCACACTGGCTATTTGGTACCGCCTCACAGAGCTGCATGGCTGTAGAACTTCTGCCTTGTTGTTTGAGAAATGGCATGAAAGATTTATTGATTGTTATTCTTGTTTTGTTATTCTCTATTTATTGACCAATGTTCGTTCCAGCAATACACAGAAGGAAAAAGACAGAGCAAGAAAATGGACGTGCTTGTGTTTTGCAAAGAGAGAAAGCAGAGAGCGAGGGAAAAGCACTGGCCACAAGTAAGATTTTCTGTCTTATCCTTCTCCTCAGAGAGCCAAGTTCCACAAATCCTTCCAGTGACCTCTGCACTATACATCTATGAGAATTTGACTTCATTGCCCCTCGAGCCTGCCAGATGCCAACAGTCCCAGTCTTCCTCTGCAGCCCACAGTAGCACCTTGAAATGCCAAACCCACGAGGCACAGGGAAAAAGCACATATTATCCGGTGTGCTGGTGACTGACAGGAACATATATTTATTTGACAATTAAATGGGAAGGCAGACAAGTGTTGCCGCTGCCACGTGTGTGTGTGTTTGTGTGTGTGAGGTTGGATGCATGTATGGTTTTATTATTAGAAAGCCTCTGTTTTTCTCCGAGGTGGGTGGGCGGATGTGCACGGGGCTGACAGAGAGGCCCACTGTGAGGAAGCTGCTGCCGCGTTGGACACAATCCAGAGACTCCATCAGTGGGAAGGCCTGAGGGGCGTCTATGTAATTTAAGAAGTGTGCATATTGATAGACATGCAAAGAATTAAACGGTGGCGAAATTGCCAACCGTGGCCCCATTTACTCAGTGGTTGGTCCTTTGTGGTGCTGATGTTGTACTTGGCACAACACCCCTCGGTCTATGTATTATCATGGGAGCCAGTAGTATCTCAAAGTCAGGGAAAGAGACTGAAATCTGGACAGTAATGGTGAAAAAAGCAATTTTGTGATTTGCTAATGCAGAACTAATTGAAGCCATTTACAGTGATCGAGTAGTGTGACTTGGCCCCCTGTGATATTGTGGTGCAGATGGAGAGTGTGGTTTAAGTTACTGTTGATATGGAGGTTGTTCAAGGAAACAAAATTCAGAATGAATCCACAGATAGGAGAACTATGTTCACATTAATCTTAGGGGCTTAAATACCTGATGTTTTAAGCTAGCTGCATAGAAAGCAATGTGTTTTGAACAATGTAGTCTGAGGGAAGCGCTGATGGATCAGTAATCCTTTGTAAATTTGTATTCACGGCTCAAATGTGATTTTAACATCCAAAACATGGAGGATATCAGGTCCTTTTTTTTCAGAGGAGTGTCAGTAACAGCTTAGTTGCTGAGAACGTAATCAAGTTTAATTTACAAACTACCACTCCCATTCTTCGCAAGTGGATCCGGAGTTGAGTTATTAATGTACACAGCATGCCCAATTAATTTTTTTTTGCCATGCATTCATTCATATTATCAGGAGAAGGGTATCCGGAGTGTACATGCAGGTGAAGTGCAAGCTTATGACGTTTAGGTTTGATCGTTACTGTTGTTGCTCCATTTTATCAGCTCAACAGACTGAAAGCGAGGAAACTCTGAAATGAAATACTATATAATAATAGCTCCTGTTTTTTGGAAGTGATACAAGCAAATACATATAGCAAACATGTTGCAGTATCAAGGTCTGTGTGTTATGGGTAAGCACAGTATGTGTGTGCGCATGCGTGTATATGACATAAGAGAAATACGGGCACATACAACACAAATGTCCCTAACAATTAGACATTATCAACATCATGGTTTAATTATATAACATTAATCAAAACAAGCCGCACTGAAAATGCACTACAACCTTTGCAAAGAGTACTGACTACTTTTTTCCCCACATATGCTCTTTAAAGATGAAGAAACTCAATTCATTTAAAATGTGGAACTTTGGGGCGAAGAAAGACTTCCGAACATGTTCTGAGGATTAATATTTAATTCTAATGAAAAGATGAGCTGTTATTCCTGTATTAACTTTGCAAGTCTGTTTCCGATGAGGTCGCATACCCTAGTGTTTTTCCACCAACATCACAAAAACCAGCCTTAGGTCTACTGCCACCCCAGATAACCTCCTCTGCTTCCGAAACCACTCAGAATGAGTGTGCGCTGCCCCGCAGGTCCCATGCTACCAGAGGGGGACAGAGCTGACACATCCCAAAGTCTGGAGAGACACAGCAGAGACCCACTGTGCCAGGGGATCTGCGTGAGTCTCATAATGACTCTGTTTCAAAGGAGATCCTGCCTCTCCTGCCACAGCCATGCAGGGCTTTTGATCTCCCACTCTCTGCTCCTCTCCTCCCCTCGCTCTGCTCTGTTTTTCAGAAATTCTAATTAAGAGGAAAGACAGAGATGATGAGTGTGAAGTTGTCCCACCTGACGACAGAAGGAGATGAACGGTGTGTCTGAACCTCTCGCTAATTTAAGAGGCCTCACCTTTTCAATTGAAATATAAAAATCAATATGCTCCTTTGCTTTGGCATCCAGAGGGGAAGTGTACAAACTAATGGCCCTGTCTATCGATCAAAAGGGGAATAAAATTAATTAATGTAAATGAGCTCAGTCCTGTCCGGAGATGGCGCTGAATTCTGGGCAATCTGTGTTATGAAGCAAATTGGAAACAGCATTCGATAAATGTTCGAAAGGTTAGTGTGTGCAAATCCTGCCCAGATTAATATCAGAACAAAATGTAACGGTCAGGTAGTTTGTGGCAGAGCTGACATTTATACCGGCGTGGATCAAGTGAGTTGGTATTTTGTCTGAACGATTAGATGGGATCTTGTTTCTCACTTTTATCAACTTTTTTTTATAAATAGAGAATAGAAATAAGCAGAAGGCACAACGAAACCAAATTAAAGGCCTGTATCTTCAGGAAAAGGTGGAAAGTTTGTTAATTATTTCAGATCACAACAGAAAATAAAAGAGCCGGGAGAAGAAAAAAAATGTTTTCAGATACCAAGGACCCATGTGTATTCACATGACCCAGAGTCCTTTTTACTGGCCTGCTTCTCACTCGTTACAGTTTTGTTTTGGCAGATGTTTCGGCTGTTCTGTTTCTGCACTCTCATTAGACTCGGAAGCTTTCATTATCAACATGCAGGTGCACAATGCAACCTTAACCATCAATAATTAAAGGATTAAACTTTTAAGCTGGTTTAGTGCAGAGGTACGTGGTGTGCCACTCAATGACGCTAATACAGAATTAAAAGAAAAGCCGCTGAAGAAGAGCGGGGAAAAGAGAAACAGACAGGAGAGATATAGGGTAAAAAATTTGCACTTTGTCCCATGATTCCTTACCTGTGGTCGAGGATGCCCCGTCACCAGACAGGTGAGCTCCAGGGTTTCTCCCTCTCTGATGGTGTAGACTCTCTCCGTGTGTCTCTCCTCTTCAACATTACAGGCATGCCCTGAGTGTATGATGCGGACAGTCGGTGAGGCTGTGGATGAGAAAAAAAAAAAAGAAAAAGCACATGGTGTGTAAGCATTCAGGTCATTTCTGAAGGAATGAGTAGTTTAGCAGAACAGATGGTGTATTGATTAAGAGGCTGTCTTACTGAAAACGAGCACTGTGGTCACATTTATAGCACACACAACAAACCAGAAGTATTTGAACAAGAAAATAAATAATTGATACATATTTCACTTTTATAGCATTCACTTTGGTTTAGCTTTTCAAACACCTCGTATCAAATACAAAGTCAAGGAAAAGGTACTTTGGTAAAGTGATTCACCGCCTAACAATGTTATGTAGATTTTATTAGAACTAACCAGAAATGTGCTATTGGTAGGGATTGTGTTGCCAAGCGTGTTGTCAAGCACTGTTTTAAAAATGGCGTATTTCTCTTTTTCAATACTGAACAAATCTTATTTATGTCAGGTAAGGGTTTTTTGCAGTAAGCAGCATGAGTTATTGTACAAGATGAACAAGTGTTTTATGTTCCTTTTTTAAAATTTGCACTAACAAAGATGAACAATAAAAAGAAATACACCTTTCTCACAACAGCCATTTTGACATAAAATAGTTGTAACAGGCTGTTACCAATGACACCTAAGGGAACCTAAAAAAAGAAAAAGCGCTCAGATCGGCTTAAAGGCACAATTGATAACAGAAAGAGGTCATCCCACCACCGAAAATCAAAACATTACAAACGAATCAACATAAAGTAAACCTACCACACTCAGATCAATTGACAGGTATTTTAATGCAGTGCCAGCACATCTACCAAGTTAATGTTTCGTGATGCTGTTGAGCTGTAATGTTTGTAAAAATAATATTTTTTTATTCGTGTATGTGAATATGCATCAAATATGTGTGAGTTATGTGATCACAAACTACAGATTGAGCCCTAAATTCATCCAAACTGAGACTGAGATTTCAGTGGCATGCAGTATTATTATCATAATTATTATTATCATATATTATCACCTTTTTTTATGTAGTTGTCATTTTGACTCAGTATTTGACCCTCTAAAGTACATGTAGACATTATCTGATGCACCTTGGCCGCAGTCACACTATCCTGAGTTGATTTTAAGAGGAAAATAGATTCAGTAGTTATGGCAGAAGCAGTAAGCAATCACTATCACTCCACTTTGATTCAAAGTGACACTCAATTTTCATCCTACCCAAATTAGCCAGAGTGAGCAGCAATAATTCAAAGGCAGTGGCAAGTAGATGACCAACTGTAAACAAGTGATGGTGGGCCGCAAAACATGTAATTGCTCTCATTCTCACTCTTACTTCCTTGCTATGGGAAGATATTGGAATTAATTTACAATTCAGTATTATTAAATATTTAAATGTTACAAAATCGTATAAACAAATATATATACACTTTGAAAAAGAAAGTTATCTAAAATGAATCAGCAATATTTTGAAAAGCACTGACTCTGACTCAAATACATAATTATTACTTCATAAGTAAATGTCTTATATTTTCACAAAATTTTAATTCCATCCTAAAATATTTCTCGACTGACCATATGGAGAGTGGGTGTCCATATTTAAATTGGTGGAAATCTCATTCCGCAACAGAACTCATCATTTAGCACATTCATTTTAGCATATAATTTCCTAATGCAATGTAATTAGGGATATAAAAACGCCAGAAACTGTGATGTGGGCAAATTAAACTCACTATTCAGCTGCAAAAGCATACTGCAGTACAAGTTCAGGGCAGAAAAACTACCCACAGCTGTCTGTCCACTCTCCACTCTCGAACCTTGTGAGACAATAGGGACACTTCCATCTGTCCACAACCCAACATACAGTGGGACACAAGCGGTGGGGGGTTAAACGGAAGGGAGGAACGAGTCATCTTAGGTAACCCGCCCCAAAAAACGCTCAGTTCCACCGAGCTGTAAAAGCACAGTTGCATGTAACCGACCCCTGACAATACTAGCATCTGTTAAGCATTTATTCCTCTCCAACTTACATGATTAGTGAAGAGGTTTGGGATGAGATGATTTAGAGAGCGGATACGGGATACGATTAGGAGGAGGAGTACAAATTGGTGAAGAAGAAAAAAGAACCAAGCAGGAATCACAAGGAGTTACAGACTGTAGCGTGCCTTTCATATTGGAGGAGCAGCTTCCTGTGTGGGCCTCTCTCGGCAGACTCAGGCCCCGGCAGCAGACTCAGTTCTGCCTCTATCCAGGCTGACATGCTAATGAGTGTGGCGACACTCCTCCCTAATGCTGCATTGGGAGTCTCAGCCAGAGTGTACCCTTAGCCACGCGCTAACCACTTGTCCCTCCCTGTTACCAACCATGCTGTTTGTCTCATTCAGCTTGTTAGGTTAATGCCCTGCTGTGCTTGTCCTGCCTGTCGAAATGCTACGCGGCTTGATGAACGCTGATGCTAACTGGCTACTCATAAAGCCTTGTTGGACTATTCTTGCTCTTACCCTTTGTCGTCTTCCTCTCTCCATTTGCAGATGAATACACTGGTGGCGAATTCCATAGGGGGGGATAAGGGCTTGAGAAATAGGCTCAGTGTAAGGGAGCTTCACGCAAGGCTGCCACTTGAAACAAAAAAAGGCTTAGAAACAAGACCCCAGGGCACTAGCCGAACAAAGTACTAATGCCATTTACTCCAATGAGCCAGTATCTCTGCAGCATACTATCAGTCCTGGAGGAAAGTAGGGAAACACCCGTAATTAATGATCTTCAACTGCTGTAGCTGCTACTGCAACGGCAACACACACACATAAACACACACTTGTTCTTTACGCAGACAACACTAAGCTTACAGGGACAAAAGCAAATAACCCTCTTTTAAGCGCACATAATGAGCACCATAATGTTCTCGCAGTCGCACATATCCTTGTATAGCTGAGACCGGCTCTCTCACATTACTTGGCCCAAGGCATGAACTAAAATCGCTGTCATTACTACATAATTCCCTGTTTGTTTAGTTTTCATGAAAGCCGCTTGATGTTCTGCTGACGGTAACTACTCATAGTATCACAAAAGACTTCTAAGAACGGACAGTGAGACATTAATGCACTGGGACTCGGAGCTGCATGAAGAGAGATGTCACTACGCTGACAGGTTTGAGATAAAAGGTGTCCTGGTAGAAGGGATATGGCTGATGGAAAAAGCTTTGGATACATCATAGCAGGCCAGACACAGGAGGTTATATCCTGTAACATCTTATACAAGTTCATTATGTGGACTAGGGTACTGTCTCATACACTGGAGATGCAGTGAAATTGAAACACTGTTGAATATTTCTGCCAGTGCACCAAACATACCTGTATCATTTAAATTTCACAACACATTGACAGAAGAATCAACATTTATAGATTTGCTACATTTGTGCCAAGAAAATGGCGACCCACTTGTCACAACATCGCTCCATAGCCCCACTAGTGGTCAGAAACTCCCCAGGGTGCTTTTAAGGAACAGCCAGAAGTATTATCAGCTAAACGTACTATCCACAGAAGGGGTACTCATGGTGAGGAATTGCCCCATTCAGAGCATTATGGTAAAACAAAGAGTATATTATATTACTGATGCCTTAAGCAGTATTTCATTTTTAGAATTGGTTCGAATTGAGATAACGTTAACTACTTTACATACATTTTATACTATAAACATATGTTTTGTATGTAAAAAAATTTTTAATGCAATGTAATAGTATAACATTTTTTTAATAAAAAAGAAAACCTATTTGTTCTTACAGGAGCAAATATAATCCTTTGATATTTGTTATGATCAAAGATGATATATTATGTAAATGTACTTGAAGTATTCACAGAAGGAATACTCATGATGTAAAATGGCTGTGCACAGTAAATTAACAGCAGTCCCCATAATCTTCTGTTTTTTTTAAAATTCTATTAAAATTACATTTACATGTTTATAACAACTAATCAATAATCAAAGCAACTTGTTCAACCCCATCCCCAATCCCTCCAGAGTAAAAGTACAAGATGTTAAATGATTGAGTGGTCATGTATGTTGAACAGCAGAGCAGAGGTCATTTGGGAGCAATGAGCTGAAAAAAACAATTCTGCTGGTGGCACATTCGGATGTTAATTAGATACCTTTTCCAATCTTGTTTTTTTTTTCTTCTGCCAGTTCAGAACTGGCATTGGCATAAGAAGCACATCTGCCAGTCGTACCCAAGCAGGGAAATCAATGCTAAATATTGAGTAGATCTTTGCAGTTAAACTAATGCAGAATTATTCTGAAATCACCTGTTTATTTGCTCTACAAGCACCGATTAAACAGCGTTATTGCAAATGTTCAGCAAATGTTGTCGTGTGAACCTGTGGGTTAAGATTTGAAATTTGCATAAATGTGCATCTCAGGCTGTAGTGTCACTCCCCCGCACTTCCCCATCCACCCAACCATCTGCAGGCACACACACACACACACACACACACACACACACACACACACACACACACACACACACACACACACACACACACAGTTTCCTGATAGCTTTAAGTTTAAAGAAAGAAAAAAAAGGAAGCGGAGGAGCTGCAGGCTAGGAGCAGGAATCTCAGATGTGCCTCTCTTTTTTTTATTCATTATCTTACTTCCATAATAGTGACATCATTTCCCTCTCCGCAGAAACACACAGCGGGGAGAGGAAAAAGGTAGAGAGCGGAGGGGAAGAAAAGACTACCTCTGCACATACAATTGTGCATGTTAGAATTTTTTTGTGCTCACTCTTCCTCTATAGTCTGTATGTGTGTGTGTGTGTGTGTGTGTGTGTGTGTGTGTGTGTGTGTGTGTGTGTGCGTGTGTGCGTGTGTGTGTGTGTGTCAAGTTGGGTTTGAGTGTGCATTATGTCATTATGTGTGCTGAATGAGCGGCTCCCAGTGGAGTGCCTAGCCTTCCTTGGCCTCAGTTGGAGGAGATGGAGACAGCTTTATCCACTACCGCCAATGGAGATTAAATTGGATTTGGCTAAAAGCAGCCT